TTTTCCAAGTAAGTATCTAAGTATGTCATTATCATATTCATATCTCTTACATGATACACATGCACTTTGTTTATCATCTTTTTCTTCTAAAGACGCTATTTTTTATTTTAAAGATTCTACTTCTTTTTTCAATTTATTTAAATTCTTTTTCAAAGATTTATATTCAGTTTTCAAATCTTTAAAAGCAGCAAATAGTTCTTCATATGCATTTTGTAAATCATCATAGTCATTTTCATCATTAATTGAAGAACAGTCAGAATCAATTACCTCACAGTCGGAAGAATTTCTATCATTTGCCATCAAGCAAAGGTTTGCTTCAACATCTGAATCACTTGACTCTGAACTCAAATCACTATCATCCCAAGTTATGTTAGCTTTCTTTTTATAAGATTTTCTCCCTTTAAGATCATCATTCTTCTTGTTGGGACATTCAGATTTCACATGTCTTGTTTCACCACATCCATAACATTTAAATTTAGAATAGGATCCTTCTTTTTCATTCCTCTTACCTTTGAATGGATGTTTCCCTTTAGTTTTCATGAATTTTGTAAATTTCTTGATCATAAGACTCAAGTTTTCATCTTCTTCATTTTCAGAGTCTTCTTCCTCCTTCTTGTTCTTACTTTTTAAAACCTCGGTTTTGAAGGCAATGTTTCTTTTGACACTTTGGTCTTCCTCATCATTTAGTCTTCCAAGTTCAAGTTCATGCTCTCTCAACTTTCCAAAGAGAGTTGTCATTGACATAGTAGCAAGATTTTGTGACTCTGTAATGGCAGTGACATTCGGTTGTTATTTCCTGTCCAAAGATTTCAAAATTTTTACATTTAACTCGTCAGTATAGAAAATATTACCAAGCCTAGTGAGATGGTTGACAATATGAGTGAAACTCTTTTGGACGTCAAAGATTGTTTCTCCTTGTTGCATTCGAAACATTTCATATTCTTGAATCAAGAAATTTTTCCTTGCTCTTTTAACATCATCAGTACCTTCATGGGTTACTCTTAACATTTCCCACATTTCTTAAGCACTCTTGCAAACTGAAATTCTATAAAATTCATCAAGAGTTAAAACAGATGAAATAATATTTCTAGCCCTAACATCATATTGAGCTTTTCTGTTTTCTTCTACAGTCTATCTAGAAAATGGTTTAGGTGCCTTTACTTCATTTTCAGTAATTTTTGGAATAAAAGGACCATTTAAAACAGCATCCCAAACACCCCTGTCAACAGACTCCAAAAATATTTGCATTCTAACTTTCTAAAAGGGATAATTTTGCCTCGCAAAAAGTGGGGGTTTGTTGATAGAAGCACATTTAGCAAAGGTTTGGTTTTGTCCAGCCATTTTCAAAATTTTTGAAAAACTATCAAAGCAAGCTCTGATACCACTTGTTAGAATCGCATAGCGGAATGTTTGCGATTGCGGACAAAACCAAGAGGGGGGGGGGTGAATTGGTTTAGTTAGAAAAATTAGGGTTTTTAAAATTTTTCCCAAATTTTACCGATTAAAATGCTTGTAAAGTAAAGAGATAAGGGAAAGAAGATTACATAGTTGATTTATACTGGTTCGAATCAAAAGACCCTATGTCCAATTTGTTAATCACTCTAAAAGAGGATTAACGTTATCACTATAATCACAGTTTACAACAGATTACAAATTGCAAAAGATAAGGATTAGAAAACACCTATCTTAAGTCACATAAGAGATGAACACCTCCTTTGAATCCACAAAGGATGAACGACAGTTTTTCCTAGAGACGGCACAACACACAATCCATCAAGAAACCCACTCAGTGATTCTTAACGCTTCTAGCTCACACTAGGTTTTCAAAAGCCCCTTTTTCTTCCCTATACAAAGTTCTCTAGCAATCACAACTCTTAACTTTTGTATGAAAAATATTGTTTGTTTAGAGAGCCTTAGAGAACCTTAAGTAGAGAGATTTAGAGTCTGGGGAATAGAAGTTTTTCGAAAATAGGAGTATTGAAAATAGGTGTATCGAAAATAGGTCCAAATTTAAAATTCAAAAATCATAATAGACGTAGATAATCGATTATCTTAAGTGATAATCGATTATCACAAAACCATTTTCGCAGAGGAGTAATGTCGATTAGGATAATTGATTATCCTCTGAGATAATCAATTATTCCAGAGTTTTCAAAAAATAAAAAACAACTGGGATAATCGATTATCAAGCCAGATAATCGATTATTCCAGCAAGTTTTTCAGAAAACAAGTTTCAAGCAGGATAATCGATTATCCTAAGTGATAATCGATTATCACAGAGTGGTTTTGATAAAAATGAACTTTCAGAGGAAGAATTATGTGCTGGTTATCTTGGACTCTAATTTTACAGACTCAAAAAGATAAAACAGAGTTATTACAAGTAAATACAAATGATTATAAGTCTTCAAGACTTCAAGTCCTTTGTTCTTGAATCATCATCAAAATCTTCAAGCATCATATCCTTGTATGTTCAACAGTTTAGCTCTTTTATCTTGGTGAGAGTGATTCTCCTAAATTCTTGAGTGATTCAAGAACCTTTGGTAGTATCAAAGGACTTTCACATCCTTTGAGTTGTCTCCCTTGGAAAGAGTGATTCTTTTCTTCGACCTTTCACATTTACCTCTTGTCTTTTCTTCACTAGAACCCATAAAACCCAATTTTGTCCATATATTATTTCGTGGTCATAACTTTCGTTTTACTCATCCAAATTGAGTGTTTTTTTAGCCTAAATTGAAATTCAAAACGAGAACTTTCACCTCATTTTTTAATCACCTCAATCAGAGTTTTATAGCTTAAGATATCGACATTTCAAAAATTTTGCCCAACCTTGAAACTTTCACCACTTTCTAATCCACCTTCTCACTAATTTCCTAAATTTCTTACAAGGTTCTAACCTTAAATATCTTAAGTCAGCCATTGTGCAAATGAGATTCATATCAGAAGTGGTAAGGGGAATTAGAGCTATTTTATATTTGTTGTTGAACCATATTGTATTTTGTTTACCAAACCCTATTTAAGGCTAAATACAAGAGAAATGATAGTCAATCATTATATCCATATTTTCTGACAATAAAATATATTGTACCCACTATATTTAGAATACAAATCTTTCCAAAATTAAGGTAAATTCATTATTGACCAATACCATTAAGACAAGCAAACTAGCTAAAATAAGCATTGTTGAACGAGACTAGAAACTAGTTTATTGTTTTTAAATAATCAGATTTTAATTAAATCATAACAAAATCGAAAAATTGGGACAAAATCGAAAAAATCGACTAGATTTTTGGGTTAAATTGGTTTTGGTAAAAGAAATTGGGATTAAATTAATATAATTTTTTTATAAAATATAAAATATATTTTAGTTTTTTCTTTTTTTATCTCATATTAGTTAAGTCAACTTTAAATAATAGTTAAGGTAAATTCATTATTGACCAATACCATTAAGATAAGCAAACTAGCTAAAATAAGCATTGTTGAACGAGACTAGAAACCAATTTATTGTTTTTAAATAATCAGATTTTAATTAAATCGAAACAAAACCAAAAAATTGGGACAAAATCAAAAAAATTGACTAGATTTTTGGGTCAAATTGGTTTTGGTCAAAGAAATTAGGATTAAATTAATATAATTTTTTTATAAAATATAAAATATATTTTAGTTTTTTTCTTTTTTTATCTCATATTAGTTAAGTCAACTTTAAATAATAGTTATTTTATTATATTTTTATATTATTTTAACAATTTTTATCTTGTACTCACTATATTTAGAATAAAAAAAATCAAAATCAAGGTACATTCATTATTGACCAATACTATTAAGACAAACAAACATGCTCAATATTTTAAAAATCGGACCGATCAGTTCAACCGATTGAAATAGGAATCGGACTAGAAATTAGTTTGTTACTTATTTTTTTATCTCATTAGTTAAGTCAACTTTAAATAATAATTATTTTATTGTATTTTTATCTTATTTTAACAATTTTTATCTTGTACTCATTGTATTTAGAATAAAAAAATTTCCAAAATCAAAGTAAATTCATTATTAACAAATATTATTAAGACAAACAAACAAGCTGAATATTTTGAAAACCGGACCACGATTCAACCAGTTGAACTTGGAATCGGACTAAAAATTTGTTTGTTACTTATCATATTTTAATTAAACCGGAAAAAACTGGGATAAAATCGAAAATTTCGACTCAATTTTTGAGTTAAATCAGTTTTGATAAAAAAATTTATAATTAAATTTTTTTATAAAATATATAATATATTTTAATTTTTTTTCTTTTTTTATGTCATTAATAACATCAATTTTAAATAATAATTATTTTATTGTATTTTTATCTTATTTTAAAGATTATTCATCTTACCCTCTCTAATAAATAAATAAATATATATATATATATATATATATATATTATATTCATAATTTTCATTGAATGTTACATTATTCATACAATAATATTTATTATTATTTTTCTTTTCATAAAAAATATTATTATTAATAAATTTATTATATTATAAAAATATTATTTTATTAAATCTAATTTTATTCCAATTGAATTTCAATTAAATATTTAAATCTTAAACTCATGCCGATGACTAGTCCAATTTTAAAAACATTAAAAATAAGTAAAATAATAATTATACTAAAATGACAAATTTACAGCCCATTCATTTGACGGTCTATTATGGAAATCGAAATAATTATCACAACCAATACGTAGAAAATAAAAATATATAATAGTGTCTCATGTTACTGTACATAGATTAAGAAATATTTAATGGAAGCAAAATATTATTACAGCCTCTAATGAAATAGGTATATACTTCATGTTCACAATTATTACGTGGAGTATGTCTTTTCTAGGCCATAACATAATACAATTTACTAACAATGAACACACGTCAAGTTTATATATACTAATTTCAGATTTGAAAAAAAATAAATACATAACTTACACTGTACTATACGGACAAAAAACTTAAAAGACTTCAAGCATACAACTTCTGAAGATCATTTTTGAATTTGGCATTCAGCTGTTCTCTCTTTATCTTGAGAGCATTAGTGACTAATCCAGATTCAGGTGTCCATGGATCCGGCAGCAACTTAATCTTTGCAGGAATTTCAGATTTTATCAGCTTTGTAGATTTTGCAACCTGACATGAATAAATAAGGTGTAGCCAACCAATCATTAACCATGTAACAGACACAATGCTAATTAACTTATAATTTCCCGGTTATTGTCAGATCATAAATAAAACTCTAAAAAAAAAAAAACGCTTATTAAGCCAGTACCAGGAACCTATTTTTAATTATTATTAGATTAATGGAATTGTCATTAACAGGATTCGAACCCCCACCCCTTTATATTATATTTTTATTATTTATTATATTTTTAGAACTTTAAATTATTATTGGATTAATGGAATTGTCATTAGCAGGATTCAAACCCAGTACTCTCGAGTTGAGACTCGATACTCCAACCACTAAGCTTATTAGAATATTTTGATAGTAACTTACAAATAAATTATATTTATATTTATCCGTGTAAATATATAAATATAAATATAAATATATTTATATTTATATTTTGATATATTTATATTTTGATATATTTATATATTTATATATGTATATATTTATATTTATATTTATATTTATGTATTTATATATTTATATTTATGTATTTATATATTTATATTTATATTTATATATTTATATTTATATTTATATTTATGTATTTATATATTTATATTTATATTTATATTTATATTTATATTTATATTTATATTTATATTTATATTTATATTTATGTATTTATATATTTATATTTATATTTATATTTATATTTATATTTATATATTTATGTATTTATATATTTATGTATTTATATTTATGTATTTATATATTTATATATTTACACGAATAAATATAATTATAATTTATTTGTAAATTATTATTAGAATATCCTAATAGTTTAGTGGTTGGAGTATCCGTTTTCAACTTTAAAGTACTTGGATTCGATATCCATAGGTAATGGATAATTACTCACGGATAGAATTCCGTAAGTAATATCCGTATGTAATGTACAATTTATCTACGAATTTTGTACATAATGTATAGTTCAACTGAAAGAACAGAAACCCCAAGGAGAATTTCCAAACATAGATGTGAAGCAATAAATATCGTGAGGATCAACCTCCAAACCAATTTGATACCATGTCAAAGACAAACTTTCTGAATATATTTTGTTTTATCTGATAGTATCTTGAACAATCCTACTTTTATTCGAGGATTCGTTTTTCTTTTCATTAAATATTTAAGCAGCGTAATATTAAAGAAGATGAAACTTATATCTCTCCCTGTTTGTATCAAGAGTACCGTATTGTGCAACTAATCATATTATTGTTATGAACATTCTGGTGATTGACAATTTATATCTTGGTTATATACTAGCAAGCAAGGAAGCATCCACCAAGTAGCTAACCTTAGAAATAGATTGTATAACCTCAGTGACAGTTTCAGGCTTGTTACAGAGATCAGGAAAATCTTTGAACTCAATACCAGCTTGTTGAGCCCACTTCTCCAGGGAATGATGTGAAGCAACAACTAGAGCCACACAATAATTGTAAAAGGGGTTTGCATAAACCATTATATTATCCACATAATCACATGAAGATAGTGCTGCCTCAACCTGCAATTCAGAAAAAATGAAAAAAAAAATGTAGGAGTTGAAATTTTGCTATGAATTTTTTGAAGGACATGGTATAATTTGAGACCTTTCCAAGAGAGACATATTCTCCATGCTGAAGTTTGACAATATCCTTTTTCCTATCTATGATTTCAAGACACCCATCAGGATGGAATTGCCCAATATCTCCAGTATAAAACCAACGCATACCATGCTCGTCAACCTGTACTTCGTTAAAAAAAAAAAAAAAATTACCCATGAGGCATATATCAGCAAAGGTAGATTTTTGGAGCAGTTGAATGAAAATTAAAATGGAAAGATTTAGCAGGCATGTAACTGAATGTATGAAAATAACCTTGAACACTTCATCAGTTTTCTCTTGATTCTTAAAATAACCAGCAGTCACACTGAATCCCCCAACTACGATCTCTCCACGGGGCATTGGTTTGTCTGATGTCAGATACCCTCCCTCTTTCCAAGACACAAGCTATACAACCACATTATAGAAATCAAGTTCTTTCCTTTAAGGCTCATAAGTGGTTCCAACTGCAACTTATTATATTGTGATCTGAGTTTACTTGTGCACAAACATGAGATTATAATAATTAATGAATGTTACGTAAATCAACAATTTTTGTGATTATTGTAGGGTTTAGAAGAACACCACATTGATTTTGGGTTAATGGAACATCTGACATACCTTAATGTAGGAACAAGGAAGAGGTGGACCAACACGGCCCACCTTGTGGTCGTACCATTCTGAAAATGCAGCCCCTGCAAATGTTTCAGTCAGGCCATATGCTTGCCCAATGGTAGCCCTGTTGACAAGAAAATAGGCTAAGACAGACTATTTATTAGAATTCAAGAGAAAAAGAGAAAAGTATGTTTTGAATATGTTACATCAAAGAACTTATACCTATTCTTAAATAAATATTATTCCTAAAAATTGAGTCTTGAACCAAGCTTAGTAATCCCCTGTAATCCATAGAGCCTATGTTATTAGTTATATAAGTTATTATTTTATATTTAAATTAGGTACTAAGATATTTGTATTATTTTTTAAGAGAAAAAATAAAAAATATTAAATTATTATTTTTATTTAAATAATTATAATTAAAATATTATTAATATTTAATATTTTATTATATTTTTATTATACATATATTACATAATTAAAATATATATTCATATAAAATATAATTTATATATCAGAAATATTAATATTTAATATTTTATCATATTTTTATTATATATATAATACATAATTAAAATATATATTTATATAAAATATAATTTATATATCAGAAATATACATACAATCTTCAAAATTCTTTGTGTCTTAAACTTACTAACAGATAGAAAATCACATTAAAACCAAACTATGCAAAGTAGAGACTTCTTCCACCACCTACATCCATGACAAGTTAGTTCCAAAAATATGCAGTATAAAGATAGGAATCATTACCCGATACAGATATTGATAAAGTGTTGTGAATCCTTAGATAGAGGGGCTCCACCACAAAGCATATAACGGAGTTGTCCTCCAAGTGCAGCACGGATTTTCTTAAAGACAATGGTTTCCCACACCCACTTCTCCAATCCCCAAGCTCCAAGCCAGCTTCCTTTCATAGCAGTCAGTCGGCGTTGGTACGCAAAATGAAAAAGATTCTTCACAAGCCCTCCTTTATTCTCAACCTAAGTAAATTGTAGAGAAAAATAAAGAATAAAAATAAGAGTGCTGATATTTTGACACCCGATTTTAAACATCCATTCGACAACTGAATAAAAAAATATTAAATGCACAGTATAACCGAATAAAAAATATTAAATGCACAGTGTCTTGGCAGGTAGCGTCGCTCGAGCGATGTAAATTTCGCTTGAGCGACGACACTTTAGATAGCGGTTTGTGAGTGAACCGCTCACTAAAGTATGTTTTTGTTAGCGGTTCAGAAGTAACCGCTATCTAAAGTCATATTCTTTTTCATCTTTCCCTCCTACTTTCTTCAACCTCGCGCTCTTTCTGACTGCATTTTTTTGCCGCTCTACGCTCTCATTCTCGCTCTCTGCGCTCACATTCTCGCTCTCTGCGCTTTCATTCTCGCTCTCTGCGTCTTCTATTAAGCTAAAGGTACGTTCTTTGTATTTTCAATCTTTCTGATTCTCTTGCTCACATTGAAGCATATTACATTGTAATATATTTGTGTGTCGCCAAGTTCGCGTTCCAGTCTCCATTCGCCATTGTTGTTGTAGGACGCGCTTATTGGGAGTTAGTGCATTATATATTTTTAGGGTTTAGGGTTTAGAGTTTGTCTACATTGAGATCTGAAATTGTGTTTTCTTACTGCATGTTATTGACCCTTAGTAATGAAAATGAGTATATGCTTTGACATAACTTTTATGATATTCATTGTTAGATGATACTCAGATTGTTGTCATGAAATACTTGTATGAATGTGCTCGACCTGTAGTAAACGTCATGAAATACTTGTATGATTGCGGTAACCAAACAACAGGAATCAACAATTGAAAAACTAGAGGAAGATGTAACACAATTACACGAATTGTTAGATGAAGCAAAACTATCAATAGAAGAAGTAAATCCTCCATCATGTGGGATGTACTTTTCTCCAGTATTTGAAGGTAGTAGTATTAAAGAGATGAAGCATCATGTTGAAGCAACAGAAGAATCAAAGTTGCATTTTGAAGGGTCAAATATGTATACGCGACTTAAAGGTCATCCAAGAATAAGGTATAAAAGTTTTACGGTCAAAACACCGTGGACGACTAATTCAAGGAAAAGAAAAAAGGCAACATAAGTGTTGTGTAGATGAATTATTTTGTTAGGTTTTGTTGTAATTGTAATTTATATTTGATGCAGACCTTTATGATGTAATTTTTGTGGCCTGTGATGATGTTATATTGTACATTACTTTTTATCTCATAGTGATAGCATTGTATCTTCGTCCGATGTGTTGTTCGACTGATCATGTATGTTTATGTGCATTTAATGATATATAGTCAAGTGGTTAAGCATATAATGTGGGCTATACAAATTTAGCACATAATTAACACAAAAATGTCATGTTCAGTTAAGCACATAAATTTGAGGTGGTCAGCAGATATATGGTTAAGCCAATAGTAAAACATGACTAAATGTCTATCATAATTAACCACATAATGTTTATATGTCTACAACTCTTAAAAGTGACAAATATCACGGTTGAACCAGATATCGCTCGAGCAAGATTAATGTCGCTCAAGCGAAATACAACCCGAGAATCCCAATTTTTTGCAGGTGATGTCGCTCGAGCGATATAAATTTCGCTTGAGCGAATGTTGACCTTGGGCTAAACGTCGATCAAAGTTAGCCGCATAATGTAACATGGGTGACCCCATTCTCAGGAGGTGGCGTCGCTCGAGCGAGATTATTTTCGCTCAAGCGAAACACAACCCGAGAATCCCCATTCTTAGGAGCTGGTGTCGCTCGAGCGATGTTAATTTCGCTTGAGCGATATTAGAAAAAATAGATAATATGATCGATTATTTTAGGTTATAATCGATCATTAACATACGTTAGACAGCGGTTTACCGTTAACCGCTATCTAATATATATTTTTAAAAGCGGGTCTTATCAACCGCTATCTAAGGTCGCTTCGTGCCTCTCGCGTTCAGAGGCGCTCAAGCGACTAGGTAATCGCTTGAGCGATAGCTGAATCTTATATGTGGTGAACCAAGATTTAGTACATGGCTAACTGCGTACGACGTTTCGTCTGTGGTTCACCAGTCGCTCAAGCGAGGATGACATCCCTTGAGCGATGGAACCTTAACCAATAGGGACCATCTGGTTCTATCTCGCTCAAGCGATGTTTTTACCACTTGAGCGAAAAGTGATTCCAATATGTGGTGAACCAACTTAAATTATTTGGCTAACTGCGTGTGACGTTTCGTCTTTGGGTATAACCTCGCTCAAGCGATAAAGTATCGCTCGAGCGACGCAGTCTTCAAACAAGGCAGACTCTCGGGTTCTATCTCGCTCAAGCGAAATTTTAAACGCTTGAGCGGAAAATTGATTCAAATATGTGGTGAACCAACTTAAATTATTTGGCTAACTGCGTGTGACGTTTCGTCATTGGGTATATCCTCGCTCAAGCGATAAAGCTATCGCTCGAGCGACGGAGCCTTCAAACAAGGGAGACTCTCGGGTTCTATCTCGCTCAAGCGACGTTTTGAACGCTTGAGCGAAAATTGATTCTGATATGTGGTGAACCAACTTAAATTATTTGGGTAACTGCGTTTGACGTTTATCAGCAGTTGATGGTCCATACATTTACGTAACAATCATCGATTGTAGACATTTATCAGACATGTGATAAAAAACAAGTTGAGTTTTTAAACAAGTTTATCCAGACATTTATCAGCTTTCTTAAACAAGTTTTTAACTGATACAGCTTTGATAGAACCGATTAAAATTACTTACAATATTCAGAGAAGTGTTTTTACAGTATTTTAATCGATACAACTTGAGTTTAATGGGTTAAAACCACTTGGAGTTCAGGATGATCGATCAGAATACAATTATGACCGGTTAGAATCAGATATGATCGATCAGAATTGAATTATGACCGATCATAACTATTTTAATCGATTAAATCTCGTTTCAATCGATTAAAACAACTTAGAAAATTTCTACACAGCGTTTTAATCGATTAAAACTTATTTTTATCAGTTAAAATAACTTGAAAAGTGTTACAAGAAAGTTGTGCAGTATTTCAATCGATTGAATCACGAAACAATCGATTAAATCAACTTAGAAGATTTTTTTGTAAAGTGTTTTAATTGATACAAACGTTGTCGTATCAGTTAAAACAAATCTGTTAAAGAATCAAGAACGTTTTAATGGATTAAAAGAAGTTTTAACAGATTAAAGCTGCACTTTTAACAGATTAAAAGAATCTTTTAACAGATTAATTAAACCGAGTTTTGAAAATCTTCTATAAAAACGAGTTGTTTGAACTTTTTAAACACACATTGAATATCATCTTTACACATCCTTGAGCAATCAATAAAGCAAACTTCAGCACTCTTTTCAAGAAAGATTCGCATCAGTTTTTGAGAAGTTCTTTGAAAATCTTTCTTGAGGCAACTTGTTTTCTTTTGAAGAAGAAACACTTACAGCGGAATTGCATAAAGCTGGTTGTAGAGGTTGTCAGAAGCTGGAATTTGGTTCTTGGTAAAAGGTTAGGTGTTGGTGCACTGGAATTTGGTTGTAGAGGTTATCAAGAAGCTGGAATTTGGTTCTTGGTGAGAGGTTGTTTGCAGGAAGCTGGAATTTGGTTCTTGTGGTAGATTAAGTGTAAGATTGTAAATCTGTAAAACATTTGATCTAGTGGAACCCAGCTGGAATTTAGTCGGAGAGCTGGATGTAGCCCTGGTATTGGGTGAACCAGTATAAAACACCGGTGATATTAGATAATCTGTTATTTGCGAAAAACTTTTAAAGAACAACTCACCCCCCCCCCTCATTAAGATAGCGGTTATTTGGCCAACCGCTATCTGAACTATACATTATGATCGATTATTATCCAATTATAATCGATCAGATTGACATATATGACTTTAGATAGCGGTTATTTGGCCAACCGCTATCTGAACTATGCATTATGATCGATTATTACCCAATTATAATCGATCAGTTTTACATATATGACTTTAGATAGCGGTTAATTGGTCAACCGCTATCTGAACTATACATTATGACATATATGACTTTAGATAGCGGTTATTTGCCCAACCGCTATCTGAACTACATTTATTATAGCGGTTATTTTGCCAACCGCTATCTAAGGTCGCCTCGCGCTCGAGCGACTATGTAATCGCTTGAGCGACAGCGACAGTTGAACCTTTACCAAACGAAAGTAAACTCCTGCAAATCCTGGAAGGAGAAAAGTGTACCCTTGAGTTACTTTTTCTCATATGAGCTCGTACAAAGGCGCCAAGAGCTTTCTTATTCACTCTTGGCGGGGACTACTACTGGGAAACCAAACGAAAGGAGCGAAAACTTTTTATGCTGTTGGCTGCTTGGGCGCTTACTCTGCTCTCGTCTATGCCCTTGGTGTGACGCAGCTGTGTATCGATTTGACTTTCGGATCTTTAGGTGGCACTCACTGGCCCCGTCTTTGCTCTACAAACTCATGGAAAGGCAGGAGCCTGGAAGCTAGGAAGAACGAGCCCTTCAATTCTTCTATAACATCCCCCATTTTTACAATATTACATATATGAACCCATACAATTTTACTAATCAAACCCTTATTTTTAATTAATTTCTTTTTAGCCCCGGTTGTCTAACAGTTGTTTGTTTTCGGTTGTCAAAGAATCGTTTTCGTAAAAATAACTACTTAGTTGTCTGTTTGAAACATTCAATAGAAAGGGAAAGTGACAAAAAAAATACTTGCTTTTACAATTTGTAAAGAAAAAAACTATTTATCCAATTGGTGGTGGTATTCTAGAGGCAATGTTGGTATAACAATAAAAAAACTTACTTTCTGTAAGATTGTGTAAAATATTTTTGAACAAAAGCAAGATATTTGGGGGACTGAACTGTTTTCTGTTTTGATTATTTCATATATTCT